TGTGTGTGTGTGTGTGTGTGCCTTTGACTGCTGGACGCCACATCTGGTCTTGCAGTGGGCCACTGGGTCAGGTCTTGAGGGACTGAGCCTGTGTGTGTGTGTCTTAAGACTGACAGTCCACACCCTTATCTCAGTGTGAACTGAGGAGTGCCCCTTCCTGTTTCCATAAACAGACGTGCTCCAGTTGGAGTGTCCACACTCAGATAGCGATGACTCGGTGATGACAGGATCCTCCATATCCGGGGGCTTTAGTATTTAATATAGAAATACAACAGAGACTGATCATTTGACACATGCCACCAGGGACAGTGTGCTCCAGCTTACCCTGAATGTGTGTGAGAAAACCTAACAATGTGGTTCGTGGTGAGGTAAAAGAATAAGAGAGGTGCACATGTGGGACAGGAAAGGGGGAATATGATACTGTGTGTGTGTGTGTGTGTGTGTGTGTGTGTGTGTGTGTGTGTGTGTGTGTGCGTGTGCGTGTGCGCGTGTGCGCATCCAGTGTAATCTGGTCCAGCTGTGGTCTTAAGCCACTGGTCAGATGAGTGGGCGACTTGGCTCAGACAGGGCCTCCTCCTCCTCGTCTCTCTATCCATTCTTCATCTAATTACCAACCCTCCTCCACCGCCCTGTGATTACAACCACTATTATTGCCTGTTCTCTTTTGCTTTTTCATATTCCTTCTATCTATTTTATGATTATGGTCTCTTAAAGTCTTTTTTTAATGGTCTGGCATCATTTACCTCTTGGCTTCATTGGTTCTGAGTGCGTCTTTAGATGTCTGGCTTAGTGTTTGTGCTTGTCTCAGGCAATAATACTCTTGAAGGATGAAAACAGCTAATTTCACGTTTCATCTTGAAACACAATCTGCTGCAGAATCATTTCTTCATCTAACCAGTGCAGCTCATTTCTAATGGAGAACAGTAACCACAGTAGTTTCACAATGCACCCTTGGCTCAGCTGCTTCATGGTGTTTTCTCTCTGTGTCCGGGCTTGTTAGGGTCCTTTCATTTTCCCTAGAAATTGAACATGCATTCTTGGTTACTTGATTTTCGATGACATGAGCAAAACCTTTTGGCTCATGATTAATTTACGCCTCCTGAGAGATGACTTGCCAGCACCATTCCTCTGCTTGCTGAGGCTTGCCACTCACTTCAGTTCAACTTGTAGTCTCCTAATGAGGATATGAGATAATTGTTTGTTTGTCTTGTGAGGATTCAGTTCATGTTTGATTTTGACAGTGAGATCCAGTTTGGGTTTAAAAATACCAGTCTTTATCACTTTGTGTTGAGATGTTGTAGAAAATGAGCAAAGGAAACATTTTTGTTCAAACATCAAGTTTGAACAAAAAACTTCATGGATCATGTTGGATCATCAGGCAAACTATTTCAGATCATCTGATGTGCGTCTACATTGTTTATTTAGAGTTTAAATCGGTCATTGCAGTTCGAATATGAACTTCCCCGAATAATTGTTTTAATTTTAAATAAAAAGTGACAGCCAACGATACATATGCAGTGAAACTAAATAAAGTAAAAACTAACTAAACCATTCTAAAGTACAGAGGTGTTTCCCATTAATAATATGAAATATGTATGTGAAACGTGTATGGTCCAAAGAACATAGTTGTAGAGAACTGAATAAAGTGGTTAGCTGTGTTTTGTGAGGTGAAATGAGAGACAGAACATTCAGAAAGAGGCAGACGAACTAATCTAACACTAAAGCCGTTTTCAGACGTGATCTGCCGGTAAAACTGGAGAATTGAGTTTACCTTTCACACATGCACAACCCAGCGGGAGGTTCTCTACACAGATGCATTCACAACAGCACCAAACCCTCTGCATTGTTCAGGCCAGAGGTGGAGCAACCGAATGCAGCAGGCAGAGGCAGGAAGGGACGTATTAACTCCACTGCGGAGATCATGTGATCATGTTCACAGCGCTTTGATATCATTGTCTGCTCTTTTCCCCAGAGACTCTTAACTCTTAACATCTTAGTCTGCATCTTCTGTGTGGCACCACTTTATAATATTTGTTTTCTTATTGGGTTTTTTTCATTTTAGTGTCTGTCACGCATTAGAAGTCCCCTCCCCAACCCCCTCCACTTGCTCTCAGTAAATCCAGTGGGGGATCTCCTTCTGTGTTCTCACACTGAATTCTACAGCTTTTCTACAAACTTGAAATTCTAGGGGGCCAGACAGATGAAGTCTGCAGATAATCAGGCTCTAACATACACCCCCTCTGGAGAAAATGCAGATGATCTGCAGAGTTCAGTGCGTGTCATGAAAGCAGCTCTAGTGTGAACCACTGCAAAAATCAGTTTGGGTTCCTACAGCATCTTGTGAACACAACCACTGTTTACTTTCCAGACAGAGCGTGGGGAGTGGCTGCAGTTCCAGGCTGACCTCCAGGTGGCGGTGTCAGTAGCAGACCGCCTGAGAGCCGAGGCAGAGGAAGAGCTGACGGCTCTCCGAACAACGCAAAAAGATGTGGAGAGGGAGCTGGCTGCTGCCCAGCAGAGGCAGAAGGAGGCTGATATGCAAATTGTGACCCTGAGGGGGGAGCTGAAGGAGAGCAGGCAGAGACTGGCAACTCTCAATCAGGCTGAAGGTAAAACTGACGCCCGGGCTCCGGGTCAGGCCCCAGAGAGGCCCAACGCGGAACCAACCGTCACTTTTGAGAGCAGAGAAGGAACCCAGAGGGGAACGGAGAGGACGTCGTACAGGCTGGGACGAGAAGGGATGGAGAGACGCAGCGAGAAGGACCTGACGAAGAATGTTGTAAGCGAGGAGGCGAGGACGGACTGTAAGGGCGTGGCTAAACGATACCTGAGGAATGTAACCAATGAGGATAAAAGGGGAGAGGAGGCGCGATCCACTGAGACAGGACGGACGATAACCACAGAAAGATCAAGGTGCGTTAAATGATTTGACCCTTTATGGGAATATATAAAACAAATAGTATTTCTGCAGCACATTATAGTTAAAAGAAAACAAACCAAAGCCTGTTTCCTGTCTTAATCATTTGACTCCAACACAGCTTATAAAAACACTTACCAAATTTGTTTAGCGGCTTCTTTTGAATGTGTTGCAATCAATCCCCAGACATGAACTGTGCCACTTGAGGACAGTTTGAACGGGTGAATTTATAGCTGGAGCCGAATAAAACAGCTGTCTTGGAAAAAATGCCACCCAAAACATCTGGTTTAACTTACTGTGTGCATTCTCCTCACTGTGTTTGGTCATATTACAGAAGCCTCTCCAGATTACCTGCCTCGTCAGACCTCTCCATGCAGAATGGCACATCGCAGTCCAATACCGCCACAACAGTGGGACCCGCAAAAATGGTGCGATATTTTATGTTTAGCTTGAAAATGTCTGTGCAACAGTTTGTTGTGAATGTCATGATTTTTACTGTATTTGAATTCTTTTTGTTTTCAAGAACTCGGGGCAAATAAGAAGCCGAAAAAATCTGGATTGGCAAGACAGCAAGTCAAGCACTGACATAGGTGTGTGTGTACAAAATGATTGTGTGCAATGATTTACAGTATGTCAATTGTGTGCAGAGATACTAAACTACTACTGTAAACTAAATCATGAGAAGCCTCTACTTCGTACAACATCTCTGGTGCAAACGTGTGTGTGCTGCTTCTGAAGATGTTTCTCATAGTTAGACAACCTAGATAACTTAGCTTTAGTAACCTAATCGATATGTTTTATGTGTATTTACGATGCCTGTGCGTGTGCGGGGGTAGGTGTGCATTCCGCCTCCCAGCACATCACAGGCATTTTTTTAAATTTCATTGAGAGAAACAAAAATAGTTAAAAATTAAAGGCACTCCATTAAGGTCTCCATTTTTCGGCCACTAGAGGTGCTATTGAGCAACATCTTGAGCGGGACAATGCGCTGGCGATGGCAGTAAAGCTCAAAGAAGCATAGAGTGACTGTGACAAAGGCAAAGAAGAAGAGAACTGCTAGTAAAGTACAATAACGAAAACAGTACAATATTTTGGACGATCAGCTTTTCATATCAGTAGAGATCCGGGATGTGCACAATGCATTTTGCTTTAGAAAGACTGAATATAAACACACATTTGTGTTTAAGACATCTCCATCATGCACCTCTTCAAAGCTGATCTAATCAACAATGACTCAAAAAGTATGTTTGATGTGACAAAACCGCGGGATGCCATTACTCATTTTAGCTCATTGTTTTGGTTTTTCATGGTTCACAACTAAAGGTTCTGATAAACTCAGCTCCGATTAGCAAAAATAATCAGTAACTTATTAGAGCTCATATTTAAAAAGATTGTATCTAACATGTTTGGTATTACTCTTTATACAGTGATATTGTTTACAGCTTGTTTCACTGCCCCCAAGTGGCCAACAAATGAATATAAGCATGTCGATGGGTCACAGGTTGCTTAACTAACGCCTCTCCTTTCAGCATGTTCATAATCATGACTTGGTGTTAGGTAATGCAGTATTGTTGCTCCTCTTTGCAGGGAAACGTGAGGAGTCTCTAAACAAGTACAACTCTGCCCTCACTGAGTTACCTCCCACCAAGTGAGTACACACACACACACACACCCACACCAACCTAATTGCTACACTCTGTGTAAAACTAATTACTCATGTGTTTCACCACTTGAATCAATGTGTTAATTAAGTTTCTCTTTCAATAAACGAGTCAACCATGTGACAAAAGCAGTTTTTTTAATACCACGACAAAATCTATTTTATGGTTAACATAAAAATCTGAGGTCGTCAGTAATTTGTGTCCTGTTGTCAGGTCCCAGGATGGTTTCAACCTGCTGCTGCGTCGCCACGGAGGCTCCAAAAGAAACTCGCTGCTCCGCTGGTGTCAGAGCAGAACCCAGGGCTACAAGGTAAATCATTCAGAACAAGTCTTTCTCAAAGATGAACTAGATTATATTTCATGTAAATTTTAAATCCTATTTTATGTAGATTAAATAAAAGGGCACAGAGCGCTTGCTCCTGTTATAGAAATGATATCTGACAGTTTCGTCTCGGGAAAGAAAGATCTTTGAAAATATGTCAAATTAGTGTTTTGTAGGGATTATAGTCTGGGATGGTGAGCAGACCTGTGTCTGATGACTGTAGGTTGTAATAGAGAACAAGGGTGGGAATTCAGTGTCTCATTCCTCTTTCAATGCTTAATACTTAATATTCAGAGTAAAAAGACAGATTTCCAGTTTCCCAGAGTCACTGGAAAGGATCGTAATGCTTGAACTTTAAATCTTAATAGTAAGTGGTGTCTTACCAAGAGCGTTGACCATTCAATCTGAAACTACTCCAACTCCTATATCCTCTCATTCAGTCTCTCTATCTTTCCCTGCAGAATATTGACATCACCAACTTCAGCAGCAGTTGGGCCGACGGCCTCGCCTTCTGTGCCGTCTACCACACCTACCTCCCCTCACACATCCCCTACAGCAGCCTCACACCAGAGAACAAGGTGAGAGCTGTACCCGTGAAACGAATACCATCGAGTGATTAATGGCGTTCAACTTATCGATTCATTCTTTTTCTTTGCAGAGGGAGAACCTCAGTCTGGCATTCAAAACAGGAGAGACTGTTGGGATTGCACAAACCCTGGTACGCCTCTGTGTACTTTACTAATACAACCAACCGTTTCCCGGCAAAGCCTCATCTGACTTGTTTCAGTGACAGATGACAGCATGGTTTTTATAAAGTTATTTGAAATCTTTGTTTGACAGACCGTAGAGGAGATGCTGAGAGCAGGGGGTCCTGACTGGCAGAGGGTGCTGAGCTACGTGGAGAGCATGTACCGTCACTTTGAGATGTGACCGCTGACAGAGGTACTGACGGGACACAGCAAAGGAAACTCATCACGTTGTTATGACGATGTCTCCATTATTCCTACACTATGTCTTTGGTGGGTGTCAGGAAACTGGTGAAACAGCTCTGCATGAAAAAAAAGTCATTCAAAGCTGCAATCTGCAACTTTTTGACGTGAAATATGATTTTGTTTAAGATGCAGTGCAGGATTTCTTAGAAACACCAATAACTATGATAAAAAGCCATCGCAACCAAAGGACGTAAACACTGACGTCAGCTTTTCCCACTCGGGTCGTTTCATTTTTGAATGTGACTTTACAAAGGCTGGCTCAGGCGAGAATGAGGGTGTAGGAGAATCTAGCACATTGGATTTCAAATATTTACTGAATAAGTGACTTTACGTACAATATGAACATTTCACAGTTAAGCTGATGTGTTAGTAACACATGAGGAAAATCCTTGTTTTGTCAGTAAATTGGGAAAATGATATGTGGTATATAGATACCTGATAAAAGCTTGATCCTGATCAACATAATAGTTAAAACATTTAAATTACTTAAATATTAATTTTGTTCCCTTTGGTTCCTTTGCTGTCATATGGAAATGCTCCCTGACCATAAACTAAAGATGGACGACATGACTGCTCCCCCATAAGTGAATCCAAAAGATCTCTATCATCAGTTGGTGACTTCCTGAAGTATCGGTAAAAAATCTTTCATGTTAGGGGATGGGACATGAACCAAAACTAAAAAGTCCCGTAAAACTTTTCCCAAAGATCATGTCTATTTAAAGAGGTGCAACTTCGTGATTGACAGCTGAGACTGACATGTCGAGCGCATTTATCAAAAGGACCTCACTATTGCAGTGCCACCCCCTGATCACTATTGTACAGACTCTGACTCCAAATGTTTAAAATGGTGGCCTTCCTGTCTGGGATATTTTCCCCTATTTTATGGATAATGGGAGGAAGTGGAGACCTGTCGTCCATCTTTATGATGTCTATGTCTCTGACCAGGTCGAGGCAGTGGAAGTGACATCGACTCCACAGTCAATTTTTCAATATTTGTTGTTGTTTACCTGCCTGTATGTTTCATCTCCTTAATCAGCTGACATTTCCCACACGTGCGCAGTTTATCCATTTGAGTGAAACGTTTTGAGATGAGCATAATGCAAAGAGTTGCATATTGCAGCTTTCAAGATAAAGCTTCTCATTGACCACCATTATAGAAAATATGTGGATCTTTTTTGATAGTAGCTCTTGGAGAAAGGTTGTGTAAAGAGAACGAGGTGCTGTAAACGTCTCCACACTGGCAGAAACTTTATCACATTGTGACTTTCATCAGATATGTTCAACCTTGCCTTTTTACCCTTGTATGTGACTCTTTTTTCCTGGACCTTTTTAGCACTCTGTAAATATGCACTTTGTCCGCACTTTTTTTTTTTGTTGGTGTAAGAATGTAATGTACAGTACAGATCTGTGTGAAAAGCATTCAGTGTCAAGGCTGCAGACCAGTCTGTATTTTCTTTGTGAATGGCAGGAAAACACTGTGAGTGTTTGGCAGTGATCGAAATCGAATAAATAATATCATGCCTCCGTGTTATCACAAGCGTGCCAATGATGCATTGGTGCTCAGGGATGTGCATGACAGGAGTGACACATAGCAAAAAAAAATACACACACAGGCAGAGTTTTCATTTCACTTTACAGCTGCATCCGCCAAACGTCTTATTTCATCAGTGCTGAGAAACTAAACACCAGGTACTGTCATGACATGTTTAATGCCGTGTGTGTTGCCAAAGTCGTACGTGCCAAAATACACCATCTATTGTAAAACATGTTTATATGTAACTAGTGTGAAAAAAGAAACATGATACCAAAGAAATAAAGTATTAATATGAAACTAATGAACATGTGTGAGTGTTTTTCAACATGTATTTCCCAGAAACAATGAAAAGACTGGAGTGTGAACTGAACTAATCATCTCTTCCAGTTTTAATCTGGGTTTTAAAGCGATTAGTTGTCCTTGAGTCTGCTGCCTCCTGCTGGAGAGGGTGGGTTAATACAGGCAATTCATTTAGCCTGCGTCAATAGCTGTCCTCTGTGCTGCTGTATTTAGTGCAAACTCTGCATAACCTGCATTTAACAGTGTAATGATATGGCATCCCTTTTTTTTTATTTAATAGAATTAAAATCCAATAATTGTCATTCATATTGCAAAGAGAAGGTTGGGACTTAGTTAACTGCAGTTAAGCAACTGATCCACATTTTCTCCCAATGCATGGCCTCATCATCAGCCCACATTGCTGTTGTCCTTCCCCCCTGTGTTTGCCACAAGACAATAAAAATGTCAAATATTCATTGGATTTCTTTTTTCAATGCAAGAGCTATAAAGTAGGAAAACGACACCGGTTAAAATGGCATCATCTATTTTCATGCCAGGGATTAAACTCTGAGTGGTGTTTGGGTCACATGTCACAGTTGGATTCCTCCTGGCGTTCCCGACGTATTTTCTTTCCACTATATGGAAACACCAGAGCATCTTTGTGTACTGTGGAGTGCACTGTGAATTGTCATCCTGTGAAAAGACAGATGAGATACTCCCCTCTGGGCAAAGGCTTGAAAGAGAGTGTGCTTGTGTGAACATCACCCACCCTCCCCACCTCCACTTCCCCATTGTGTGTGACAAAGAATTATAAGTGTGATGGTATGAGTTGGTGTGTGTGAGCATCTGAGGGACACCGGTGTGGGGACAGGAGAGGTAGACCAGGTCAGTTGAGCTTGCCGAGCTCGTGGTGTCCCGTCAGTTCCGAAAGTTGGACGACGTGCAACAGAGAAGTGGGCAGCGGAATCATGGGTTGGATTTGGACCCTGGTTGTGTGTTTGGGAGTTGTGTATTTTGCTGCGCCAGTTTTGACTCAGGATTCAACCAGGTGAGTGGTGGAGTTTGTTGTAAAAGCGATCGCACAACAAAGAACACTTGAATTCATGTTTCATATACTGTTTCAGCTTAACTAACTTGTCGGACTAATCGATGTCTTACCTCCTTCTGATTAGGACGTTGTTTCTAATCTCAGCTCCAGATGTGTTGCATGCTGGGACACCGACATCGCTGGCCATCACGGTTCTATCAGACCTCCCTGGCAGGGTGACGGCTGAATTGGCACATGGCAACATCAGAGTAGCCCAAACAGAAGACTTCCAAGGAGGTGATACTGCAGTTACAGAAATTTAGGGTTGATAGACAAAATGATTTTTAACTTCTCTGAGAGCTAAAGTTTCATTCTGTTTTTAAAGGTCTGACCAGAATCCTCACACTGCCTCCAGTGAGTATATTTCTTCTTTACCTTATTCTTTCTTCTCTCAGAAAATCTCTGGTAATTCTTTCCAAGATGCCAGTAATGATTTCTAAGTGTAACGTCACAGATTTCTAATAATTCTTATACCCTCGCTCCAGGTTCCTGGCTCTATATCCCACAATTCCCTCTTTAACCTGACTGTGAGTGGCTACAGGGGTGACAGTGTAATTTTCACCAACACCACCACCCTCAGCTTCAACCTGAGGAACGTCTCCATCTTTATCCAAATGGACAAATCACGCTACCAACCAGGTGACAACATCCGAGTCAGGATTGTCTCAGTCCAGTTGGATAACCGTCCATATAAAGGCACAGTGGATATCGCTGTACAGGTAGGTTTCTGTCATGTATGTGAAAGGACAAAGCCACAGGAGCTGAATAGATTGCCTTTTAGCCCGGCATTGTGTCGCCGTGGGAAGTTTGACCGATGTCCCTTTGTCTCACGCAGGATCCCAGTGGGGATGTTGTAGACAGGTGGGAGTCCACAGGGAATCTGGGAATTGTGTTGCAGGAGTTCAGTTTAACGCAGACGGCTCCTCTTGGACAGTGGACGTTCACAACAACAGTGAATGTAATGTACATTTTTTTCTCTACTTACTTTTGTATTTTCTTTTTAAAAGACCAAAAAAACACACAACTGCCAATTTAACCTCATGTTGTCTTTACTACAGGGGGTGACTAAAGAGAAAAAATTCTCTGTGGAGCATCATGGTAACAGACTTTTGTTTTCATTGCCATATTATTTTTGAAAATAAGCTTCATGCATTGGTCCACATTGTCTTTCCTATAACACTGACGTGCATATGTGCACTGGACATTGAGAAGGTCATATACAATGGTATACATGCCAGCTGCCCACCCACACCTCCCACCGATGAGACCTCTTCCTAGAGTTATTATTATTGGCCCCTGAAGTGCTCCTGTCCTTTCAGCCGTCACCTACTACTAATAATAAATATGACAATTCAAGATTATTTATTTTCTGCGTTTTGAAGTACACAGTTTGCTTGAACTAAAAACAATTTACTAATTATATTCAAGACCCCTTTATGAACCGCGATTTAGAAAAATCTCAGATCCACAACTGGTTAAAAGAACCAAGCCTTCTATTTGTTGGTGTCCTTTGCAGCTCAGCATGGACGCACTGCACTGACAGAAAACTGTGTACTCTGTTCCCATTTGCTTTCATTTAGAGGGATAGTTTACCCAAAAATGAAAATTCACTCATTATCCACTCACCACTATGACAATGGAGTGTTGCAGCCAAATCAAATACAATTCAAGTGAATTGTGACTTCAATTGTGTTGGATTTGGCTGCAACACTGTTTACCCCTGAAACTCCAAAAATGTTTTATGGACTCAAACACTTCCCCCACCCCTCCATCAGCATAGTGGTGAGTACATTTTGAAGCATGTTTTAAAGGCATCTTTAAAAGGCAACAATGGTTACACACAGCTAAATGTATTCCAATGTCCATAAATAGACCTGACTGTTCCTTTAAGAAAAATCATGAATCTTTCCTTCAAGATAAACTCACAAAAATGTAAACCTGTCTTATAATTACTGCCTGAACTTTTACTTTATTGCATCGTTACTTTTTGTAGCAGAGCGTCATCATTTCGAAGTGATGCTCAAGACGCCTTCACGGGTCCTCGTTGGAGACGACATCTCAGGATCAGTCAGAGCACTGTGAGTTCAATTATGATCATTGCAAATAATCAATAATATCACATCTGCAATTTACATACATGTTAATAATGTGAAAGGTTTTTGTTTCTTTAGATACCCCACTGGACAACCTGTACAGGGGACATTATCTGTCTTTGTCTCGCTGGTACCGGATATGATAACTTCAGCTTCTGAGGACAAGTTGACACAAACCAAAGAGGTGAGGGTTTATTGTCCTTGTAGTTTATTTATGAAATCAATGTACGCCAACAGTTGACTTCCTGTGTTTTTATCCACCTTCTACAATTCAAGCAATAACACACTTGATAACATTACCTGACGTCTGGTCTTTGTTTTTTCTTTTTCAGATCTATGGCTCAACACAGTTTTTCTTCGGCAAAGATCAACTTAAAACCCTCCACACTTCGGCAGGAAGTAGCAGCAAAACAAAAGTGCATGTTGCTGTCTGTGTTACCAGCAACTTTACAGGTGAGATAGATTTTAAAACAATTGATGTGGAATTTTATTCTCTGTCTTCAAGCCTCTGACTGATATCACCTCTCGTCACCTTAGGATCTAAAGTGAACAAAACGGTTGAAGTCCACCTCATGAGAAACACATACCAGCTCACCTTCCATGATTTCCCATCGTCCCTCAGACCATCTTTAAACTTCTCTACAAAAGTGAGTGAATTATTATTATCACTCTATTCATGTAGCAGTTGCTTTCATGAAGCTGAGAGCTGAACTTCCTTATTCCACAGCTTAAGATCAGTAGATACGACCGAAAGCCCCTGAGCTCGCAGGATCGAACACACTTGGTTGTGGTTGAAGTCGATCAGAGAACGTCAGCGATGAACTCGACCAAGTTCGAGTCAACAACTCTGGCGGCCCCAGTGCCCGAGGACGGGGATGTCCACATCAAGCTCGAGTTACCAGCTCAAGTGGAGATGCTTTTTATGCGGGTGAGTATTTATAACACCTTTAACATTGGTCCTGCGGGGAAAAGTGGCATTCTGCGGTTTCGTTGTGTGTAAGATGAGTAGTTTCGTTAGAGATGTTCAGAAACTCATTTTAATAAGTGAGGTGAGACTGAAATTAGTATTTGAGTTTGTATTTATGTAACATTAATATATAACATATTTTTTATAATGTGTTTATATTCAGGCCAGATTCCATTCCAGTGAGGAAACTCTGAAGATCTACAACAACTACGTTTCTCCTAGTAGTTCATATATTCAGATCACCCCGATCACTGCCTTACCTGCACAGGTAACCATAAACATGTGTTTTGTCACATTGTGCTAATATATGCACAAAGTCTGTTACTTAGATAATTGTGTAACGTTGTGTTTAATGGAATATATTTAACTTTCAGGTTGGATCACCTTTTCAAATAGAAGTGGAGAGCACCTTTAAACCCACTGCGCTTCACTTTGTGGTATGTTCAGTCAAATGTATTAAATGTAGCATTATTTGTATCAGTTTTTATTCCTGGTATCTGCAGGAGATCAGAATGTCATAGACAGGTCCACGTTTTACATCGTTAATCTAGGATACAATATCTTACTGCCCCAGGGAATCTCAGAACCTACAAACATATAACCTTTTCATAACCAGAGGATGAGCAAATGATAAGCATCTGTGCACAAAGCACAACACTGCTGTTCAGTATGGAGTTTCAAAATTCAGCCAAGTTCCTGCTATTTGTACTTGTGTTGTGTTACATTAATGGAATGTCAATGGTGTGATATGGGGTGTTATGATACAATTTTTCAATTCCCGATACTGATTCCAATACCTGGACTTTGCATATTGGCCGATACCAAGTACCAGTCCAATATACACATAAAAAAAAAAACAACAACT